AGAAAATAATAAGACACAAAGATGCAAGACACCAAAACAAAAAAGAACTACTAGTAGATGGTAGATGGGGATGATGAGCAGTGCACTAGAGGAGCTAGACGATGGCACGGTCCTGGAAATTGGAAGGGGGAACCTTGAGAATGTCAGGGCCGCCGAAGCTGTCTGCTGTCTGTCCGTTCGTCTGTCTGGTCTGGTCTGATCTAATCCGGCTCGTTGGGGGTAGTGCAGCCCAGCTCTGCAGTTAAGCAGCCCACGAAGAACCATATTAAATCTCCTTACCACGTAGTATACTATGACGCCAAGGTAGTTGAGACCCCGACAGAAAAGCGCATGCACGCACGCCAAGGGTCTCTATGGCTCCACGGAATGACGGAGATCCCCGGTGACATCTCTGAGTGGTGGACACGGGGGGCTCGTGGGGCGTAAGCTGTGTTGGGAGAGAGAAATTGAAGACGGAGTCGTGGCTTGAACTCAATCACATGTAAATTGTCAAGGGGGCAAGGGGAATATCTCAAGTGGAAAGTGTGACTGGGGTCATGAAATCGCGCCTTTCCGGAATTATCGCTTCATTCTAAAAAATCGGGGGATATTTGTTTGGCGGAAGGACAGTTGGGAGCTGAGCCGGATGTTGGCCCGGATAAGAAATCCAGATAAGAGCCGTGGAGCCCCTCAAGTGCATCAGCTCATCCAGGTAGGTAGCTCCTGCCGACGTTCTGACCTTGCTGGTCAGGTGACCTGGAGAATCGGAGATGGCGCGTGCACGCGTCGTGCTCATTTTCGCTGTGATTGGCGATGAACCAGCCTCGTGGACCGAACAATTGGAAGCTCCCTCATCAACAACGCCAAACTGCAATTGTTCAACCTTGGAGCTTCGTACCATCAGTATAGACAAGGATACGCCCTTCATTGATACCTGACTGATCTGAGGCTCGCTCATGACAGTCTAAAGATGGCCTACGATCCTCGAGGGGATCACCATGACAGGAGAGGGCCAGGCGGAGACGGTGATGGCGGATTTGTGAGAGCTCGAGGTCGACGTGAGTCAACTGATTGTTTTTGTCATCCAGCCTTGCGAGAAAAAGAAAAAGAAAAAAAACTGTCAAATTTGATGGCGCTTGTTCTGCTGCTTCATGAAAGGCTGGGAACATCACGGTTCGCAATGGACTCACCTCAAACTCGAGACACTGGTCAGCAGGCATTAAAGAGACCACATGGCTGACATACGCTAGGTCCCGTCACTGACTACGGGTCAACGGTCGCTAACTGGATGCGCCATCGCTCACCCTTGGATGGAGATGCATACACTGGAGAGATCGAACGACCGAGTGCTAGCTTCATCGTCGACGTAAGTCCTCAGCGAGTTTCCTACCCTCTTACCGTGGCTTTGGCACCAACAGTCTCATAGTTCATACCACCTGCTGCGAGGAAGACAGATCCTGGCGACACAATCCCAGTGAAGCACCTCCACTCTTCGCTCAACAAGATCAAGCACCCCATCAACGTCGTCCGATGGACACCAGAAGGTCGCCGTCTCTTGACCGCTTCCAGCAGCGGAGAGTTCACATTATGGAACGGCACAGGATTCAACTTCGAGACTATCATGCAGGCTCACGACTCTGCCATCAGAGCGCTGGCCTATTCCCACAACGACGACTGGCTCATATCTGCCGATCACGATGGGTGCGTCAAATACTGGCAGCCCAACTTCAACAACCTCCAAAGTATCGCTGCGCACAACGACCCTGTCAGAGATCTCGCCTTCAGCCCCAACGACTCCAAGTTCGTCACTGCTTGCGACGACTCGACGTTAAAGATCTTTGACTTTGCGGGAGGAGCAGAGGAGTCAACCCTGAAGGGTCACGGATGGGATGCTAAGAGCTGCGATTGGCATCCGACCAAGGGCTTGTTGGTATCGGGCTCGAAAGACCATCTGGTAAAGCTGTGGGACCCCAGAACCGGCCGTTGCCTGACTACCCTCCACGGACACAAGAACACAATCACAAAAACCTTGTTCGAGAAGGTGCAAGGCGACTGCCTTGCGACATCAGCACGAGACCAGACTGCCCGAGTCTTCGATCTTCGTATGATGCGCGATATCTGCTTGCTTAAGGGGCACGAAAAGGATATTTCAACCATTGCCTGGCATCCAGTTCATTCAAATCTGCTGACCACTGGCGGTCACGACGGCTCCCTGTATCACTACATCCTGGACGAGCCAAATACCCCGGCCGGCCATGCCAGCTCCGTGGCGCCGTATGACAGCTCTGATCCCTCGACAACCACAGCGCAGACGATATACCCCGCGCACAAGGTCCCCTACGCTCACGACTTCGCCATTTGGTCTCTGGATTGGCACCCTCTCGGTCATATCTTGGCCTCCGGTTCCAACGATCGTATTACGAGATTCTGGTCCCGGAAACGTCCCGGCGATGCCGATGTCTTCCAAGACCGCTACCATGTTGGAGAGGCGGCCGCCGAAGCAAACGGAACCTGGGATCGCCGCGGTGGTCGTCGTCAGCGGCAGGAGGAAGAAGAGCAGGAGATGGAGGATGAGATGGACGGCCTTGTCGACCAGAAGATGCCCCTCAAGCAGCCCATGATACCTGGCTTCCCCGGTCTTCCGGGCTTGCCTGGACTACCCGGCCTTTCCATGCCACAGAACGGTGCTGGTGGTCCTGTGCCACCGCCACCCATGATACCCGGCGTCGGTGCCAACGGCGGAGCTCCTCCCCCGCCTCTTCCTTTCCCGCTTCCCGGCCTGAACGGCGCACCGCCGCCGCCGATTCCCTTGCCCGGTGGCATCGACCCCAGCAACCCCGCGGATCTCGCCAAGATCGCCGAGATGATACAGAAGGCTGGAGGCACACTCCCACCACCGCCTCCTGGCGGCTTCGCACCCCCCGGCTTGGTACCACCGCCCAACTTTGTGCCGCCCCCGGGCTTTCCGCCTATGCCCATGCCGCCACCTGCGAGCCTTCAATACGAGTCCGACGGGCGTGGCGGTAGGAGAGCCCCGCTTCCTAGTCAGGAGGAGAGCCTCAAGGCGGAGCAGCGACGGGGCAACTACACCAGGTCGCGTTAGGAACGCCTCTGTGGTAAGAGAAAAACGAGCGGGAAATCCGAGGCGAGGAAGGGGAAGGTCGGAAGCCAGCAGCACCTCGTCACGCTGCCCTGATAATCCCCCATGTATGATATTGACTTCGGCTGGACAACGGGTTGATACCCTGGCGTTAGATAATGGAAAACAAAACACTAGTCATACGATTGGGAGCATGGATGAGCCCTTCCTCTTTCGCGCTGTTACGTATGTGGCGAGAGTCTGTCGCCCAACCGTCTATTCGGCAGGGACCAACTAATATACATGTGCGTCATTGCTGGAAAGAAGATTTCTCGCTCGGTGCTTGGTCTCTTCTGATGCAATCGTGATGCGACCGGCCTCTTATGATTGCTCCTCAGAGGTACAGTGGTAGTACAGAAAGGGAAGAACAAAACCCGCCGTGTCATGCAAAATTCCCGCTACGAAAAAAAAAAACGAAGAAAAAAACCACTAAAAAACCTCTAATGATCAGAACAAAATGCCATGCTCTCTGTTGTAGTCCCAACCCTCTCTTCCCCTTTCCCTCGTGCCGTTCTGTCTTTACGGGCTCGGGCTCCGGGACTGCGAGCCGCCCTTGCCGAACGACTTCTGCCTATCGGCGTACTCCTTGACGACGATGGCACACGACGCCTCGCTGCAAAGCCTCTTGCGGCGCTGGGGCGCAAGCTTGGACGCGAACTCGACGCCGGCGGCGCGCTCGACAGCCTCGAGGGGCATCTCGAAGTCGGAGAGCGGCTTATCGTTGGGGATGGGCGCGTTGGGCATGACGAAGGCGCCGATGGCGACATTGCCACCGGCCTTCCCGTCCTCGGCGAAGATGACCTTGTAAAAGTGCGTGGGGACGGCAACGTTGGGCGGGTTGCCGATGACCTCGTATTTTGTGTACCACTTGCCGTCGACGGGGTCGCGCTTGGGTAGGTAGAGCGGGCCGGTGACAATGCGCACGGAGGGGTAGCGGGTGGTCAGGCGGCGGCAGAAGTCCTCAAAGTGTGCCCAGTAGTCGCGGTTGAAGCCGTCGCCGACCTGGGGGCACATGTTGGAGAGGTAAAATGTGTCGTCCATGGCCTTCTGGGACCACTTGCAGTCGGCGGCAGGGACCTGGTGGCCGCGATCGTAGCCGCTGCGGAAGTAGTCCTTGAGCTTGGCCTGGAACTTTTCGGGGATGGAGGTGTCCTCGACGAAGGCGCTGTTCTTGCGGTCGCCACTACGCTGAGCGAGGGAGGCCGGGGTAATGTGCTCGATGACCCAGTGCGGGTTGCGCGTGCGGCGGTCGTAGCTCGATATGAGGGCAGGGCGCTGCGCGAGGTCGGCGACGGGGCCGGGGAAACCGTATTCGAAGAGGCCTGCCGGGTCTACGGGGCTGCCGGAGACAGATCCGGGCAGTGGCGGGGACGGCGCAGCGGCCGCAGGAGGGACCGGCGCGCTGGGATTGGCGAAGACTTGGGTAGCGGGAACCGGGACGGATGGGGAATTTGACGGGAGGCTCGCGTTGGCTGTCGAGGGAGCAGGTTGCTTCGGGGAGCGGAGCGAGTACATTGTCGCTGTGAGTGCGGCACCGCCTCCCGCGCTTAGAGCTGCGATGAGGGCGAGAGATGTGGTTTTGGACATGGCGACAGTGTATTTCGGCAGCGGACGGTCGGCCTTTTTGTTGATGTGGTTGGTTTTGGTAGAAACGAGGAAGAGGAAGAGAAGGGAAATTTTGCCAATGTCAGGCGTCTGGCGAGAATGACACTGTTCTGACCACGGGAATGGGAAGGATGGGCATGTGGTGATGGTGGTGTGGTGGGCGTGTCAGCTGTGCTTCGGAGCTGGAAAAATTTGGGCAGGCGGCCACGGCTGACCTGACCTACCGAGAAATCTTCAGGGACTTGATCGGAACGGGACAGCTCACGGTGCTGTTACAGGGGAAAGCTGCTCCGTGGTAAGGCTGGCGCGCTAAGGCAGCTCACCGAGGGCTGGTCTCGGTGTATCTCTCTCACCGAGACTGGGTCTGGGCTTAGCGGTGGAGGGGCCGACCAGAAGGGAGGTGACGGGCGGATGACCAACGCCCAGTCCCTGATTCGCAGCCCCAGATAACCCTGCAGCATGGGCAACTTTCTTTACAAGAGGCATCCCAGCCGTGGTAACAAGGATTGAAAGTATGACAACGAATGAACAAACAGGCATGTCACTTCAATATGATGCAAAAAAAACAACAAAAAAACGCCTTTTCACGTGTGTAAAGCCAGGCATCCCTTGGCCAGGCTCTTGAAGCGGCGTGCATCAATGAGTTGGCGCACATAGCAGAGATCACGGGGTCCTAGGGGCACTAGGGTGCCCAGCCCATCCGGGTCCTCAAGCCAAGCCAAGCCGCCCCTTGGTCAATAGGCGTGCTGTCAACTGCATTGACTTGATCTGGGATCTGGGGCGGATAAAATCCCCATTGAAGGCGGAACAGGGTTGTCGTTTGGCTGCGGCTTCTGCGGGATAAACGATGGTAACAGATCCGGAATGCCCATGGATAGACGGTTGGCTTATCCTCATATTTGCCTCCTCGCCTCAAATCTCCCCATGTTAGAATGAGCCGCATGGTGACAGCACTGAAAGGAAGAGAAAGGTGGGTTGCTCTGGGAGAGGGTCAGACGGCAAGCTGCAGGGCGGCTTCTCGGGTGAAAACAAAAAATATCATACGAATGAGAACGAAAGGGAAACGGACAATGTCTGGGCGTGAGACCTCGGACGGGGCGAGTCCTGCCATTCGGCCATCAAGGTTCTCAAAATTCGATCCGCCCTTTTCCAACGACCAGGTTCCCCATTAATATGACCCTGCTACCCAGCCATTTCTAGAAACAACGCAGCAGCTCCGCCAACAGCGCCAAACTCAGCGCTCTCCCGAACCCACTTCAACGCTGACTGGAAAGCTTAAGGCGTCCGTCCATGGGTGGTCACAGCGCTTCCTTCCTAGTTTAGTTCATCGACATCACTGCTTTCTCAGCAACAATACAACACCCATTGATATTCATTACCTACACCCGTCATATCCTATACCTACGTCCTCTCAAATTCCTCGTTTCTCCCGCTCCAAACTATAACGGAAACTTCGCAACGTCCTTCAAAATCTACCTGACACCTTGATATCCTCATCATCCTATCTCGCCACGTTCTGCATCTCCAACAACGCATTCACCACCCGCCTGTGTCACTTGCGCGCCTGTACTACGTCAGTGCTCGCTCACTCCTGCAGAACGAGAGGCAGCCACACCGATACCGTTACCCAGCTTCCTGGACCTCGCGAACGAGACTCGAAAATCCTAATCAATAGAACAAAATCCCTCAAAAAACCCCCCCAAAAAAAACGTCGACTTACTGCTTGCCCCTTATATGCGCTGAGCACTGAGCCCACCTACAGTCAGGCATTGATTGGAGGCGTCGAGACTAACCTGCTCATCATGGAGGCGACAGAGGTCGACAACGACACCAGGGGGTGGATTATGAGTATCGTGAGCGGAATGGGTAGGTAACCAGCCATCCTATGCTATGCCGTACTTTGGCGTGCTGATTAGTGAGCTGTCGCTGACATTTTTATTCCATGATAGCCTGCGTCGCTGGCGCATCCATCATTTGCGTCGACCTGCTTGTGCGCTACATTCCTGGAAAGCGCAACTTCAGGATACAAGACAGCAACGGCTTCTTGGCCTGCTCACTAAGCCTAAGTTTCGGAGTCATGGTCAGTCGGCCCCCAAGAACTCTGCGATGATGTTATGGAGAACATTGACTGACAATGGCATTATGTGTATCAGCTTTACTCGGCCTTGAACAACATGCTGCCGTCTGCAAAGAAGTATCTGAAAGATGATGGGTTTCAAGAGCAGCTGGCAGGATTCCTTATAATGGCCTGCTTTATCGGAGGATTCGTCGGCATTCAAGTCATTTCACGCCTGCTGCACCAGTACATGCCGTCGCATGTTGTCGACTGCGATCACACGCACGACCACAGTGAGAATGATTTCCGGTCGCGCAGTCTAAGCAGGAGGACATCTACGTATACTTCGAGCCGCCGATCTTCCCGCCGCCCGCTCCTCGGAAGGGTTGCAAAGAACGGCCACGCCACCGAATCTACTCCTCTGCTCAACGGAGGGGTGCCGCAAGAAAACGGCGCCGACCTTGTAGCCAAGCGCCACACCTCGAGTAGAACCCCAAGCGTCAACACCGCGCATTCTACCCCTGCTCGGCCTTCGCGGAGTCGTGGTCCTACAGTCGATAGACGACCGTCCATGGCCCAAGTCCAACAGCGGGTCATGTCCTTCGTCAAAGACACGAAAACCAACTGTGATGAGAACGGGCCGTGTTTTGGATATACTGACCCTTGCGGGCAGGAGTGCTTCAAGCACTTGAGCAACCGATCAACAACTGCTCCAAGGCATCCGTCCATGCCCCGGACGAGCATGGGGAGCTTCCATGTTCACAGCCACGCCGACCTGGACGACTTGGAGGAGGGCGGTTCCTTAAGCGACTCGCCCACCAGCGGGACAATGCAGACGAGCCGTGCGACGTCAAGAGAGCCTCTGTCAGAACACCATGATACGGATCACCATGGTCATGACCACAACGTCCATGGTGATGCTGAGCACATGAGCGAAGACGTCGAGGCCCAACATCACCACCATGTCCCGACCAACGCCTTCCTCTCACTTGGCCTGCAGACCTCGATCGCTATCGCGCTGCACAAGTTCCCCGAGGGCTTCATCACATACGCGACGAACCACGCCAACCCCTCGCTGGGCTTCAACGTCTTCATGGCTCTGTTCGTGCACAACATTACCGAGGGCTTCGCCATGGCGCTGCCGCTGTACATGGCGCTCGGGAGCCGCCTCAAGGCCATGGTCTGGGCCGCCCTCCTGGGCGGCTTCAGCCAGCCCCTTGGCGCGGGCATCGCCGTTTTGTGGTTGAAGCTTGCTAAGCACACCTGCCTCACCCCCACCGCCGTCGCGTACGCCTGCATGTTCGCCATTACGGCCGGTATCATGGTGAGCGTCGGTCTGCAGCTGTTCGTCGAGGCGCTTAGTTTGAACCACAACCGAAACCTTTGCATCCTTTTCGGATTCATGGGCATGGCTCTACTGGGCATCACCGGCGCCATCGCCTCTACGCATTAATGGCATGACATGCCTTCTTCAAAAACGCAACGCTGCGTTCGGAGACACAAGCGTCAAAATACCTCCCATCGGCGTTTAGGATCATTATTTTTTCTGCAGTCAGATTTGATGAGCATGGTATCGGGCATCGGCACAGGAAGGGTAGGGCGGAACGGGGGCATATGAAGTTATACCACTGTACGTGTTAACGACTTGAAGAGCTTCAATCGGTTTAGACTGGACGGACAGGTCGTCTTTGCGACCTTGCGAGCATAGATAGGCCTGGCTAGGTAGGGTGGGTCACTTGTTAATCGCAGAGCATAGCGCTCGCGCGACATTATAGATATGGGCATTGAACAACAGGATTCGGAAAACATCCTACAACCAGAGAAACGAACAACAGTGACGGAATGTGATGGAGCGTTAACGACTTTTTTGTAGCTCCCACAGATAGTGTATATATACATTTTGACTGATCAAAGCAACAACTTTTGGTGACCCCCTTATTTTTATCTAGCAAGTTCTTGTGCGTGTCGTGGCCTTCCGTGTGGCCGGGTATCATTGCTGCCGTAAAGTAAATTAGAAAAAGAAAAGCATCGCGCGGACTGTTTCGGTTTCTGCGACGGTCCGGCTCCGTCCACCGTCGCCGTTTAGGCCGTGGTTCCGAGTGCCGGGTCGACAAACTGCGAAAAGTTCTCGTCGATGAGCGCGCGCATGGCCGCCTCCTCCTCTTGCCACGTCTGCGGCGGCGTGCCGAACTCGTCGGCCGCGCCAATCCAGAAGTCGTCGCTCGGACCGGAAACGTCGCCGCCGCCACCGCCGACGCCCGCGAAGTCCGTCACGCCGGGGATGATGCCGTACAGCGGCAGCTCCGGCATCTCGCGATCACCATCGAACGGTGCGCTGTTGGCATTAGGGTCGTCCGCCAGGCTGAGGATGGCGGCCTCGATCTGGTCCATGCGCGGAGCGGTCGGGGAGGGCGGTGGGTGCTGCTCGAGATGGACCTGGAGATCGTGGTGACGGATGAAGCGTGCCGTACAGCCTGGCATGGTGCATAGGATGGTCCGCTTCGTGCCGGCGATATCGTCGATGATGTTAGGGGCTTTCTGGTTGGGCACGGGGCGCTCCAAGCCCAGGTGGACGTAGCGGATGTGGTCCTCGAGGTTTGCTTTGGTGACGAAGCCTCCGCCGCAGCCCTGCTCGTTCGACCAGCTCTCGAGGTCGGGGGAGCCCCTGACGTCGACCTCACCGCAGACGAAGCGGAAACCCTCATGCGCCGTGCGGATGTGCACCGTGAGGTTGTGTTTCTTGGTGAACTTCTTTTCACAACCCTCCCATGTGCAGGGAATCGTCTTGCGCGCGTCAACAGGGATGCCAGAGTGGTGCATCTCGACATGCCGCTCCAGCTCCCATCGCCCTGTGCACTTGAACTCACAAAATATGCAGTTGAGGTGCTCCTTGCGGATGTGCGCTTGCAGCAGCGCGAGGGTCGTGAACCCGACCCTGGCGTTTTCGTCTTCATTGCCGCACTCCTCGCACCAGAACTGCGGCTCGCTGTGCTCGCGGCGCGTGTGGTTCCGTAGCGCACCCTGGGAGTCGAAGCCTGCGCCGCAGCCGGGCACCGTGCACGGGTAGGCGTGGGCACCGAGGTGTTCGGATCGGATGTGTCGCTGAAGGGTGTTGTGCTTGCGGAAACTCTGGTTGCAGGGAGGGAAATCGCGGCAGCGGAAGCGCTCCTGGCCGGCGTGGACGTCCTGATGGCGGCGCAGGCGGGTCGCCGTGAGGAATGATTTGCCGCAGCCCTCGTGGGTGCAGGTGTAGGCCCGCTCCTGGGTGTGGGAACCCTTGACGTGCTGGCGGAGGTGCTTCTCTTCGCGGTAGTCCTTATCGCAGCCGGGGTAGGTACACTTGAAGGGCCGGTCGTCCGTATGAGAGCGGAGGTGAGCGGCCAGGCGAGCCGGCCGGTTGAAGGTCTTGTTGCAGTCCGGATAGGTGCAGGGAATCGTTTTGAGGTCGGAGGGAAATTTGCGGGAGCGGGTGGTGAGGGAGGTCTGGCCAGTCTGGACGGACTCTACCTCTGCATTCGCAGTCGAGCCAGAGTTGCTGGCGGTATCGTCGTAGTCGTCGTCGCTGGGAGCTGTGGTATATTGTGTTAACGGAATACACCGCTGCGTGGAGCTCAGATATCACCTACCAATGTCTTCTAGATTCTCTGCCTTAGACCTTTTAGGGCCGGGTGCGACAGCGGCCTCTTGGGCCTTCCTCTTCGTCATGGCAGTCGAATTGGGAAGAGCATCGCCTTCCTTAGCAACGGGGAGGAGATTTCGTCTTCTGGAGTTTGAGGGTCGCTGGTGAACTTATTCATGGCAGAAAATTGCACGATCCTGGGCGGTCAAACAAAATTTTGTGCGCTGCACCGGCCACAGAAGGAGGGGCCTGGGTGCGACTCGGTCCGGGACAAGCTTTCCTCTGCTGGTCTGATAACGATAGCACGGACCCACCTAAGGACCGCTGTTCGATCGCAGCCTCGTCAATAATTTTTCACGGCTGGACCCAGTAGAGGCACTCTGGCTTCCCCCCCGCGACAACCTCTCACCTACGCGACAAGACCAACCCATACGTCAACAACCGATCGCACCACCATTTCTCAGTCACGACTCTGTTAATTGACACTTCAAGATGTCTGACTTTGGCGATGATGATGTCGGCGGAGGGTACGTAGACGAATCTTGCATCTCGCCAGCGCCACTCTAACCTGATTTACTAGCGACGAGCCCATGTACGAGGACGAGGCGGCCGACTACTGGGATCCCGAGGTGCCCGCTGATGACGAGGATGTCGGACGGGCCGAGGGTGATGAGGATGCCGATAACGTGGTTGTGTCGGGAGACCCGTCGGCTGCGGCGAACGCGGGCAAGGGAAACGAGAAGTCGCACCGCGACAAGAAGATTCCCGATGACCAGCGGACTACAACGCCATACATGACCAAGTATGAGCGTGCCCGCATTCTCGGCACGCGCGCGCTCCAAATTAGGTACGACAAAGGAGCCCCCTCCTCGCGATGCTCATCGTCATCCACGCGCGATCAACGAGGCTAATACAGACGTTTAGTATGAATGCGCCGGTGTTGGTGGACCTGGAAGGAGAGACGGATCCTCTTCAAATCGCGATCAAGGAGCTCCGAGAGAAGAAGATCCCTCTAATCGTACGCCGGTACATGCCCGATGGATAGTAAGTACTGGACTGTTTCCACCCACGCAAATCGGGCGTGGACTCAACAGTTGAGTTTTACGGACGTATGCTAACTGCGCGCGAACAGCTACGAGGATTGGACTTGCGAGGAGCTTCTCCAGTAAGAGGGGAGACCAATGGTTTTCGTCACTTACGGGTCAAAGAGAGACATGCACACACGACTAGATGCAAGGCACCTTATACCCATCTCCTATTGTCGTTGCCTCAAGAGTAGTCAGATCCGCCCCCCGAGCCAGGTCCTCCAAATCCGTTTTCTCCGTCTCTCCCGAGCCTGCTCGCGTCACTATTGCTACGCAAGAAGTTTTTGAAGGACAGCAACACCCATCCCTCCTTAACAAAAAATCGTTACACTGAAAGGCAGTGTACTGTAGGTTGATTTTGCATTAAGCGTGGCGTTTTTTCTTTTCGTTTTGTTTTTTCTAGACAAAAAGAAACATTGGATTTTCAGACCATAACAGAGCACCTTCTCAGCATGAGACGCAACTCCAACTCATCCCCTCTTTTCTTGTCGATTGGAACTTGTCCCGCATCTGCTGCAGCCATCCATCCAAGAACTCACATGCTCCATTGCTCATATTCTCGCACGTAAGTGAAAGGTTGTCTGCCCCATGACAAGCGAGTGTGAGACTCCGGTGGCCTCCCCGGCCAACGCGCCGGACTGGGCGAATCACGCAACCCACCCCCCCAGCGGATGGCATTTTATTCTTCCCCTCCGGCCCTCATCCCTCGAAGGCAGAGAGCCATGAGCCTGGGATGTAGAAAGGAGAGGGCCTCTGCCCCTTTCGACAACTTCCTCGCCCTTTACTGCATCGTGACACCCGTAAGTCTTGTTTTCTTGAGGTTGGTTGTCAAATGCAGAGCAGCAAAGTGGGTGGGGGCGGGGTGGGGATAACGTCCACACTTGCACGCTGGCAACGCTGGTCTTTCTCCGCAAGAATTCCTACTTCCTCTCACACCTCTATCACATCTAGACATTTGAGAGGCGAGTAGAGGCCGAGTGCAGCTGTAATGGGAATCCGCCGTTGCCATTGGTTTTGCCTACCTTTGAAAAGGCACCGACACTCGTCAGAAACCTTCCGTTACTGGAAGTAAGGGCAGGACCATAGAGGACAGTCCGCGCTGCCTGACATGGGACTTCGACACCTATCCGCTGCGCCGGTGATCCAGCTTCCGCTGCACAACCGAATCTGGTCCAGGACAACAACGATATCGAGAGATTCCTAGCCGTCGAGCAGGGGAAGGGCTCTGAGGTATGTCGGTATCGGCGAGCTAGTCGTCTACAGCAGCGGACACTACGCGCTGGGCTGGGGTCCATTTGCAGACATCTTCTCGAGCCCTCGCAACGCGACGATCTGACTGCCTCGTGGACAGATAGGGAGGATACATTGGAGCAGGCAGAAGCTAGACTGGGCGAAACGCCAATTGAGTGCTGCCGTTTTGTCCCGTTGACAGCATCTGGTCCTTCTCTTTTTCGGGCGGAGCAGTAAGTGATGGCTGAAATGTTGACCTGGGCGTCTAGACCGTCTTCGGTACGAGCTTGACTAGGAACCAAGCGTCTAGGTCAGAGGTGAAGTTTGACGACGTGATGGTCGTAGGACCGCAGAGTACTGGAGCAACCCCAAGGCAGACAGTCGGTATGTACGGTCAATGAGCCGTTCTGCTATGAATGTGCAGCAGACTAAAAGGGTACGCTCAGTCTGTTGGAGCAACCTCTGTGGCTGGATTTGTTTGCTATGTGTTAAGCTGCGATGGTTAGGCATCGTCCCATTATAGTGTTTGAGTCCGTTAGACGAATAGTGAGTATCCTTTTATGTTATGGTTTACTGAAGAACCATGGCTTATGCATCAGCAAGCAGTTTCAGACAGCACGAACATCTCTTGGCGGGGCATAGCTCATTCGCGAAGCTGTATGAAAGGTTAGGGCGAGTAAGAAAACCGGTTGAAATGGTAGACTTGAACAACGAACCAGACACGAGCCAGCTGTCTTCCATCGTTGAGAACGAAGTGAGGCCGTGGGCAGCGGGCATGCGAGCGCTGCGGAGTCTCTTCTGGCATGATGGCGGCGGCGACGTTCTCCAAGCGCGTGCTAAGATAGTGAATGCCAATACACGGTTCGCCGTCGTGCGCGGATGGTTCTCCGTGTCTCCAATTCCACAGGGAACAACCCGGTGCTGTGGGCAGCCGGGCAAGCCGGTTGTATGGGCATGACGTTCTTCCAGTCCTGAACAGATACACGGCGGTGCCATACCGCGGCGTGTCGCCCGAGCGGCACCCCTTTGTTGTATAGTTCATCACCTCGAGGGAAGACCGTGCGAAACTCAAGCCTGATGCATCCGCCGCGGGTGGGGGGCACTGGCGCCTTGTCTCCGGAGAACCCGTTCCAGGACGAGACACAGAAGTTCTCGTCTCTTCTTGCCATGACTGTCACCCACACCACGTGCCACCCATGGCCGCGCCATTGCTCGTCCGAACCTGTACCTAATCGCTATCTCGATCTGGTTTCTCACTCGAGATCTCTGCGGTGTTTGCCTCGCTTCCTCCGGCTATTGTGAAAGATTGTGAACGGACGGGCTCAGCGCTCTCAGGCCTCTCAAGTCCGTCGCAACGTTTGTTTTTGTGACAAGACAGCATGAGATTCTTTGACGCAGATATGCGCTCAGCGACGGCGAAACTACCTGCGGCGGCTGTTCCTCCTGTCAAGAGGCCAGCAGGACGTCTTGCCGCTCCTGTAGCAGAGTTTGACGCTGCGCTGACATATTTGTGACCTTGCGCTCTAATGATATGGGTCATTTGAGTCGGCGTGGCCATAACTTCAACTGGATGGATTTCGCCAACACGATATCACGTCAAGCTGTATGTAAAAGACCGTGGTTGGTCTGTAGGTGGCTCTGACGGACTTACGTGGTTCGCGATGAGGATGTAGGCTCCAAACGGGCAAAGCAGCTCCAAGAAACCGAGATTAGTGACTTTTAGACTGTCGAAGCATACTTCCTCGCATGCCATTTGTCTATCGACAGTTTTTGGGGGGGACGCGTAAGGTAGCTCGCATATTCACTAGTGCCTCGACGAGGACGAGGACAAATTACACCACACCGTGGGCAAAGTTTCAATGCCTTGGGTCGGGACTCAAACTCTCCGCGCTCTGATCTCCTGATGAAGTATTTTGGCAGGAATGGGGGCCAGTGGACAATGGGGAAAAGGGCAGAATGCGGCTGGGGCTGGCGAAGTGACGGAAAGACGAGTCCTCTCTATTGCATAATGTCTGGCATGCAGTGTGTGTGGTCTGGGAGGTTGAGTTGTGGCTTACTCGAAAACTCAGCCAGGAAGGAACTGGTCCAGTCAGCTTCCGGGATAGGTACCGAAGCTGGCTGCCTACAACTTACCTGTGCGTTGGGGTGCCCCCCCCCAATGCCGATGACGCACCCCCACCTCACCAAGCTACGAGACAAGTAGCTCCAAGCTCTCTAGGTACTCTCTCAGCTTCCAGCTTCGCCGGTCCGGCGCGACAATGCGGGGTCTGTTGCAGCATGAGTGAAAGGACCTCTCTCCATTGAGGACTCACCCACCCCCCTCGAACGGCATTACAAACATAAACTGGACCTTGCAATTGCCGGGTAGCTTTATCACCTTTGGCATGTTACACGCCCCCCCCGACTCGTCAATCCGAAGATACCTTGCTGAACGAGACTCTCGAGGAGGGGTTGCTCCATCCATCCCTGCACTGTCGATGGTGGGGTAAAACTGGCATCAACACGACGAGGGGCAACGGTCAATGGCAGAATCGAAACAATGGGACGGGGGGACCGGGGGAGGAAAAGATACAGTCCATTCAAAAGCCAAGACCGTCGTATCCCTCCTTCCTCCACTTCTCCGATCCGATCTCAATGGACTTAACTCGGGATTTTACTTATTAGGCTCATCGGATGCCGCCCTCCTCTCTGCTCTGCAACCATAGAATAATTCCAACCTGCCCCCCTCCTCTTCTTCTTTCATTGACATCCTCCTCGTCCTCCTCGTCCTCCTCATTTTGACATCTCTTGCCTGTGCTTCTCCTCGAATTCAAAGCATTATACCCCCTTCTCACAAGTGATACCCCCCAAAACAGCCGCAACAATGGCCGCCGCCGCCGTGTTCCAGACCAAAGCATCCATCACCAACTTCGGGGGCCAGCTCCTCAAGCTCTCTCACAAGTCCTCCACCACCGGCACCGACATGGCTGTGAACCTCTACCTGCCTCCCCAGTGCACCACCCGCGCCGTCCCCGTTCTCTTCTACCTCTCCGGCCTGACCTGCACCCCGGACAACTGCACCGAGAAGGGCTTCTTCCAGGCCCAGGCCTCGGTCCGCGGCGTCGCCATCGTCTACCCGGACACCTCCCCGCGCGGCCTCGACCTGCCGGGCGAGCGCGACTCCTGGGACTTTGGCGAGGCCGCCTCCTTCTACGTCGACGCCACCCGTGAGCCCTTCCGCCAGCACTATCGCATGGAGACCTACATCACAAAGGAGCTGCCCGAGCTGCTCTTCCGCGAGTTCGCCGGCAAGCTCGACCGCTCCCGCGTCTCCATCACCGGCCACTCCATGGGCGGCCACGGCGCCCTGTCTCTCTACCTGCGTCACCCGGGCATGTACCGCAGCGTCAGCGCCTTCGCCCCCATCGCCAACCCCTCCCAGTGCCCCTGGGGCGAGAAGGCCTTCAATGGCTACCTCGGCGACGACCGTGCCGAGTGGGCCAAGCACGACTCGACCGAGCTCGTCAAGAATTGGAGTTACGGCCCCCTGAACGCCCTCATTGACGTCGTACGTTGACTACCTTTGCCCGGATTGCGAGATAATGTAGGAACGCGAGAATTCTGACCAGGCATAAACAGGGTCTTGGCGACAACTTCTACATCCAGAAGCAGCTGCTGCCCGAGAACTTTGAGAAGGCCGTCAAGGAGAAGAACCTCGAGGGCCTGAATCTGAGATACCACTACGTGAGTTGGGCCACATCGAACTCGGATACGCAGCGGGACTGGAGGTGCTGACAATCACAGGGCTACGACCACTCCTACTTCTTCATGGCGTCCTTCTCCAAGGACCACGTAGACCACGCCGCCAAGCACCTGGGTCTCGGTAATCCCACCGCCTGACTCAAAGGCCGGGGCAATAGGTTGTAAACGAAGTAAATACCAGGGTTGACGTGGGTGTCGTTGAACGGCAGTGGCTTAATATCGAAGCTGAAGGAAACGGATACCACGGAAGTTGTGTAAACAGAGGGTGTCGCGTGTTGCGCATAGTCGAAATTTAGTTTTTTTTCTTCTCTCTTCTTTTCTAGGAATATGCTGCTGCTGCTGCTGCGGCTGCTGCTGTTGTTGCTGCTGAGACTCTTGAAATTCGACAAAAAATAACCGACGTTCATGCACCCATTCCCATCATGACCTTCGTGATGTGCAAACCCAAAAGCAGCAGCCCTTTCCCTTTTTGCGCATTCCATGTTGCGCGTGACATGGGTACTGAGCAGAAACGCCAGTGCCGGGTATAGAGACCGTCCGTCGTCCTGAAGGATATCTAGAAGATTGCAACCGAACCAGTGTGTGAAAGCGCCTAGCTGACCCGTTTCTCCACCTCGGGATTCACACTCTCCTTCTCGAGCTTCATTCGCATCTCCATATCCAGCTCCTTGCGTATGCGGTTGTACGCCAGTTTCTCGAACCGGCTGAGTGCGTTCCACCAATGCTGACCCGCCTCGTGCTCGGCGATGCGTTCTAACAAATCGGCCGTCTTGGCGCGCACTTCGCGGTCCTTATGAAAGAGGCCAAGGGCGATGTAGAATAAACCAGCATGCGATTCGGGCGCCACGCTCAGTAAGAGACAAATCTCATCGTAAGAGTAGACGTATTTGGAGAAGGCCATGTAGATTTCTTTGCTTTGCATCGGGTTCAACCGCTGCGTCCGTAGGCGGTCATGCATGTGGTGCAAGTCCAGACCTTTGAGCGGCTTTATCGTGTACATGAGTGCGAGGTCCTGAGCCTGTTAGTTGGAGAGGCCCGGGCTAGTCGTTTCATCGTCAGTGCTTACCTGGATGAAGCTGTAGTAGCTCCTTGTGTTTCGCCATCCTTCGATTCTCGTCACATTTCCTGCCAGCTCCTTGGATTTCGCCTGCTCGTTGGGCCACACGTAGCCATGCCCGTTGACCACTATAGGCCCCATCTCCAGCTCATCGCCACCAATGTAAAGAGCACTAGCGCCATATACGCTCTCTTCGAAAGCAGCTGCAATTCGCGTGAACCTGATCACCCAGTCTCGCCATTTGGCGCGAATTACCCGCTCACCATGCCTGGCCGCTATGCTCCTCAGTATGTCTTGCATGAACGCCACGTCCCCGGTGAGATCGCTCTCGGCCGCAACCTTGGAGGCGCCTCCAACGAGCCCAGCGTATGCTGGATTCTGTTGTTGGAAGTAGACCATCCCCTCTGTCACGGGTGCCGGTTCAATCTTGCTACTGATCTTAACTCGTCCCGTGGGCAAGTCGCACAAGACATCCCACCATTCGGGGTGCAGCTCGAACGTTGGATTCGTGACACCAGCGATGAACCCAGGCACGTTGAGGAGATCGTCGATCTTTGTCAGGTCGGTGTACGGGAACGCGTGCCGGGTGAAGCCCCTGAGTGTACCGCCAGATGCCAGGGCGCATGCCGCCAAGACTGCCTCCGCAACCTCGCCCGAAGGCATATTGTGCCCCAGGAAGATGACGCGCTTCTGCGTCAGTAATGCGTTGACTAGCACAATGATTGGGTGTGTATTCGGGCCGTTTGTCGTCAACTGCGCGTGCAAGGGGAAGGGCTGTGGCGCTTTGCCCTGCGGCTCAGAAAATTTCTGGATGAGTTTGATCAAAGAGAAGTCGCCTACGGTTTCGGGCATGACGGCAACAGGAACCTTGATCGGAATCGGGATGCCCTTGTACATAACTTTGCTTTCGAACTCGTGCGTATCGCGGGGTACAGAGTATTGTGATGACCCCTCAATGTGAGCTTTTGTCCCTGCTCTGGAAACGCCAGGTAGCTTTTGCGAATCTCGGCCCGAATCAAAGGACAAACCGGCGAGGTGCTCTCCGCGGTCCTCGGCTATCCTCATTTGAATCATCTGTTCGAACTTCTCCACAAACAAGTCTTTGTTGTCACTGGCTAACAGCAAATGTCTCTCAAGCAGGCTGAGTTTTGGCATGAGAGACAGATCCATGGAGTTGACGGCATCGTACAGCAAGGCCAATGTCTCAGGAACCGGTGCCTTGAAGTATTCGTCAAGGGCCAGCAGTAAAAGGGGCTGGGACTTGTTAGTGAACAGAGAAAGGGGATAAAGGTGCGAGACGATGCCTGCTTGCCTTGTATATGTGCAGGAACGGGTGCCTTGTGCAGATTGCCATTGCTTTCACAACAGCGCCTCTCTTGACCGTCTTGTCCTGTTTTGTGTTGACCAGATTCAACACATAGATCAGAGGCGGCCCTTCCCCTCCTTCGGGTTCTTCATCGTCCGACTCGGAATCGTCGAGCTCGTTCAAATCATCCAGCCTCCCCTCTTCATCGTCCAAGTCCTCGCTGCCGTCATCTTCATCAACAATTCCAGCAGCTCGGTTGCGCAGGCGTCTCCTCCTCTTCTTCCTGGCCTCCTTGGCTTTGCGTTCCTCGTCCTCCTCCTCCTGGCTCGTGTCCTTGTGCAGGAAAAAGATAGTCCAGTCCTGATTCCGAACGTGGGCCTGATCGGGTAACATGAGCTCCGCCAGCATGTGCTCGTCGCCGGTGATGGAGACAGGATATTGGTGCTCCATTACCGGGCCGCGGTCGATATCGAAAGAAGCGACCAGAATGTACTCGACATGGTTCTCGGTAGACCCACGAGGGTACTGTGAGCGCAGCTTACGAGGGGGATGCGCATCAGGGTTGTAGCGCCTCGGGGCGGATAGAGATGAGTGTTGTGAAGACACGCCGGTCGACGGCGTCTTGGACTTGGAGCTCGGGTTTGAAGAACGATCCGCCTCGACAATGGGAGGCGGTTGAGGAGATCGCGACGGGCGAGACGTATTGGACATTGACGAAGGGGACCTCGAAGCTGGGAAACTGGAAAGTGACGTCCGACGACTGGGCCAGGGACCGTTGGGTGGGGGGTACTGTGTTTGCGTGTTGGAATAGTTGCGCGTGAGGAACGGCAATGCGGTTTGTGTCGAAGCCATGCTGAGGAGGCAGTGTTTTAATTGCGGAGGCGATCAGATGGGTGTATGGGAATTTGAGGGATTCGAAGCGTTGCGCAAACTGTCGGTACCCAGAGCCATCCAGAATCGGGTGCAGCCGAGGGGGTCTGTTCGGGGAGGTGCAGCAAGTAAGGTTGTCTCCGATCGAGAAGCGAGGTTAGAAGGTTAATGGCTCAGGGCCAGGGACGTCTGAAGGCGAGAATGCGACATGAACAGGACGACCCAGAAGGCGGGAAATTTTGCGGTGAATCTCGAATGTCGTAGGGAATCGTAAAGGATGTTGGTCGTCGTCAGGCAGAGTCCTGGAAGAAAAGCCAAATGCAAAGCGTTGGTCTAGGGGGTGCGGGAAACGAGATAGGGAGGGCGCGGCAAAAGGGCGATGAAATGGGTACGAGGGAGGAACGCAGGCGACGCGGCGGTACATGCAGTACGTACACTAATTGGTTGGCTGTAGGTAGGTAGGTGTGCACGTTCCGGAGTAGTATTCGTTTCTAGAGGTAAGGTATGCATGAGTGACCGTCTTCAGGTCCAGGGTAGTAGCGCGAGGGGGCGTTCTCAGACGATTGCCGAATGCGCTCTTCGAAACGTCAGATGCAGGCGACTGATTGACAGCACCCAATCTCTGTCAACGAGCGAAAACAGGATCGCCCTTCGGGGATTAGAGGTGGTTACCGGAGAAGGAATACCGGTATCCTGTTCCAAAGGAATTAAGAAGCGTCAGTGCGTGGAAGAGTAGATCACCGAGACACAACCTGCTACGACGTTTAGTTTTGTCTTTGCCTCTGCTCTTCTGACCCTCCGACCATTGTGGTACCTACGTTGTTTCCTGGGCTTGAGTTCCAAACTGTCCATACCTCCTGACAGGGATGGCCTATGATATGATGCTTCTTTTTCTCTCACATTGTTTTCATTTTACATTTAGATTGTGCAATTCAACTCAAACCGAACCCCGTCGTCGGTTCGAATAATGCTTAACTAATAAGGTGCGTCGAAGCAAGGCACACGCACCTCTTTCGGCCAAACATGGCGTTGGATTGAGATGGAGTGAGGTCCGCCCCGAGAGGAATGCCATGAATCGGGCCTATGGTTGGTTGCCATCCCCCCCCTTTTCTTCCCTTCTGCTGGTGGTCTTCCACGTATCGCTCGGGGACAGTAGGCGGTGACGATTGGAGCAACTGGTGGTTACGGATAGATTCAGATTCAGAACTCTTCAGCGCGTATCTCGGAAAGCAAGGAGCAGCCCGCTGAGGGGTAATCGTATTGCGACTAAGTACTAGTCGCGCTAGGCTATGCTGTCAGTCGGTCTGCCCAAAGACTCAGAGCCCAGAGAGACGGACAGATGGATGGCACGTGGTTGACAATGCGGGCTAACATCTGTCTCCATGAGCAGTAACCTGTGTCTGCGGGAATGCGTCGACTAATTAATCTAAACATGCAAAGCAATGTCGATCTCGAATATTAGTTTTGCATTTCCCTTCCTTCAATAGGGTGCTCCTCTCCTTGTGCTGAGCCTTGTTTTTTATTCCTTTATTTCCTTTCTCGGAGTCAGCAGCCCCCAAGGGGCCCCTTGCTCCCCTCCCCTTTTCCACGTTCCCCGCCTTCCTTGTCCTCCCTGTTTTCCCCTTCGAGAGAATACCTAGGTGCCCCAAGCTGTCGCACCTAACCTAAATTCCGGCTTAGCGCCTAGGGTCCTCACATGAAACCCTTGTGGCTAAGGCGGTAGTGTTTTAGCACCTTGCGCAGCTAAATGCTATCCCAGGCCACAAGCCACCAGCCACCACCAGCCACTGCATACTGTATCGTCCACTTACGAGCCTATTATCGTGCACGGACGGCATGGTGATGCAAGGCCGTCGTTGTCACGGAGAGGACGCCTCTGTTTACTTTCAGCCCCCAAGCCATTTATTGTCTTGTCTCTAAATCAATGCCTTGCCGCATAATGCATTGCAACGCCAATTTGAATCCAACATAGAAGGCCTTTCCCCCTCTCTCTGCCTTTCGACAGAAAGAATCTGACACCGACGATACGGCTCTTTTCCCGACCCATTGTTTCTTTTTCCAAAATCGTCATCGCCCCTTTCCGGCACTCCCACCACCACCTCTTGGCTACCCCATATTTCTTTCGCATTGTTTACTTTGGTGGCAAGTGGGCGCGCGGCATAGATCCAGAGCAAGGCTTCCCTTTTTCCCGCCCACATCTGTTCCCGCCCAAATCCCCCTTCGACATGGTAGGCTAGGGTCCATCTCGCGCGCGGATCATCAAAATCTCTTGGGAAACGCATGAATTTTGACCTGAAGAACCCACAACAGGCAATGCCCTCTAGCTACAAACCTTCCCCACTAGGGCCTCACGGCTCTCCTCGCAGCTCTCCGTTCAGAAGACCAGAATCGCCAGCGTCACCATCGGCAGCGCGACAGCCCTCGACACAAGTGACGCCCTTCGGATCGCCGACGAAAGCATCCTACGCAACCAACAACGGACGCTTTGGCAACCCAACCACACCGACAGACACGCCTGAGATCCGGACACCTCGAGTACGAACGCCGACTGCCGAGACCACCATGGTCTCGCCACTGCCTCTCCGGCCGGGTTTGAAGAAGGCGATAAGCCACGGAAATGCGCTGTCGCATCTGCAGCCCGCCCAAGTCAGACAACTCCGGGAAGGATTCGAGATCTTGGATCGCGACAGTGACGGAGTCATCAACAGAGAAGACGTAGCGGACATGCTAAGCCAGCTAGGTAAGGAGGCCGATGCACGAAGGACCCGGATGTGACTGATCTTACACATTTCTAGGCCTTCCGTCCAGCGCATCCGATGTGTCACAGTTCTTCCCTCCGTCGGCCGCGCAGACGATGACGATGGCCGCCTTCCTCAACTCCCTGGCCACGATGCTGGCATCATTATCGCCCCAATCCGAGCTCCTCTCTGCATTCTCTGCATTCGACGATGACGACAGCGGCCAGATCGACCTCGCTGAGCTGCGCGATGCACTGCTCCACACGGCGCCTGAACCCGGCGAGCGGCCATTGACGGAGGCCGAGGTCGAGAAGGTTATTGAGGGATTCACGGGCAAGAGGGCGTTCAACCGCCACATGCAAGGCGGGTTGGGCAACCGCCGCGAGGTCTTCAGATATCAGGACTTTGTCAACTCCATCATGGGGACTAACACGGCATCCGAGGCGGCATCTGCCGAAGGATCCGAGGATTGAAGTTGATTTGAGCGAGTAAGCAAGGCATCTGGCATATGGGAGAGAAACGGGGTCTGACGACATGTGCGAGCGTCGCATGCGGCGACGAGCGCCGCGGGGTGACGAGCACAATTAAACGGAAACGAGATTTGACGAACACTTTCGGACATGACTGTACTTTTATTCATAGCCAGGACGTTGGATTGCGGTGGCGTCAGGTATAATTTCGGTTCGGTTTCACAGCATTGCGGGTTTTTATGCCAAGATAACCAACCCGTTTGGCGCTGGGTAGCAGCGGCAGCTCGCTCCCGCACAACCCATGTGATAACACAACTGAGGAGACGGCGGGAGGCAGACTCGGAGGGTCAGATCGGGTGGGTACGGTCTTTCGAGGTTGCGTCCATACACTATTCTCAACCCCAACATCCACGCTTGCGGATTTTGAGTAATGCGAAAGGCTGGGGAAAGCAAGTTGGTGATGGCAGTGCATGCGTCTTGTCTGCACCCGCGCTTGGTCCCAGCTTGCATATATGTACGTGTACTCGAGGAAAGCGTTTGGGCCCCGCCGTATCCCTGGATCTCATGTGGCCTTTTGTCAAAAAAGAAGGCACTGGATGGGCAAAGCGACGGCATGGTGATGCCATGAGCTCGGTTGGCAGGAGGCTGGGAGCTGCAAATCGACCAGGGCCTCCCTCCAGCGCCTGCAGCCTGCGCTCGCACCCGCAGTGCAGCACGCATAGGTATTTCAAGGGGCGGGCGGTTGTGGACTGGGACATGGGTCGGTTAGCTGGTAGTCGAGTACCTACTACTGTTGCTCTGGCTGCTGTCGCCTCCCCTCCCAATAAAGAGAAAATAGAAAAGATAAAAATCCAGGGACTTTCCTCCCCTCTCTCCTCCTGGAACACGGCGCAGGCAGTGGCTCGGGTCGAGTAGCATCAGACATAGCAACACAAACTCCGGGCGGTTCGGGGTCCTGAAGGAGGGTAACTATAGGTGATAGTCGGAGCTGATTGGCCATGATTGCAGGGGCCATGACGGGCCCCACCGAACCTTCTCGAACCGACCCGCTGGTTTGCCGTACATGGGAAAAGGCAATAGCCGTTTGTTGCAAACGCCTCGATATATCGATTGGGCCTTTCAGCCGTTACCGGACATCGGACCACAGGAAAGAATCGGTCTTTTGGGCATTTGTCACTCTGGTAGTATCCGGAGAGGCCGTCTTTTGGACGCTTTCTATCTTCACTGCCGAACCATTTCATCAGCTCCCAGCAGCTTCCATCAGTCAGGTCTTAGCTAGCTTGGTCCCCTGTCAACGCCTTGACGCTATCATGCTCTGGGGTCTGGAGCTGAAGACCCTCTAAACGGAGGCTGAGCGTGTGTCGAGCTCCTCTCTTGCGTACCAGGAGCGTAGGTACCCGTCATCCTGGTCCAGGTCCTAGTCCAGGTCCAGTACCATGAACCGTACGCGGGCAGGTCCATCTGACATCTACCTCCTACATCTACCGCGCGTAGTGCACAATCGGCCACCGAGGGAAATGAAACAATTCGGAAGAAAAATAAATAAAGAGCGAAAACAATAGGTGGCTAGGAGACGAGACAGCTTGGAACCACGACCAGTGGCCGTCGTCCGACGATCTTGTCGTCCACCCACCATTCGGCAGGTATTGTGGTAAACAAACCGCGACTTAGAGGTTGCCATTGGCTCCTCGTCGGCTGCTAGTAGTCATCGGAAGACGGGACTGTGCGCCTCTGCATGTACTCGATACTATGCATGGTTCAATGGCCATTGATGATGCTACTGATGACTTCTCCCTCGTCCTGCCAATGAGAGCTTCCGTGCTGCAGGCCCAGCACCCCCATTGCTGGACACACGCGCACACACGATGTGTTTCTCTGAGGAGGCCGTCTTGGGAGCCAGCTCTTGGGCATATCATATACATTGTACATTTCTGCATGCCCTGTCCGCGTATAGGCTGGTTGGCACACCTTCCACATTACGCATGCCCAATCCAGCACCGAGGCAGCATCCAGGACCTTAACTAGTCACCCAGACACCCAGTCGAGTCCCCGTCTTTCCCGTTAGGCGCAAACCCAGGCCTGGTATAGTGTAGGTAGGCGGGAAAAGCAACAGGAGAGACGGGGTGAAATTGTGCACAGCTGATCAATCG